ATGTAATGCTCTTAATTGGGGCTCACAGGAACAAAGCTCAGTGATTTGTTGTGTCCTTCACCTAGTGCAATGCTCCCCATGCTGTACTTTCAGGAAGAAATGTACAGATTTTTTAATAAAAGTAAATAGTAGATAATGTCTCAGATGGTAATCCTATAAATGAATGTCTGTCCTGGTTTATAACTTGAAATTGAATTTCTTGCAATCTCCTCACTGCAATTCATTGCTGTATACAAGAGTCTCATGCCTCAGACCCAGCTTGTCTCTAAGTGACTTATTTCCATGGCTAATTTGTAAAGAACTATTTGTTCCTCTAATGCAATTTGCAGAGGGTTTTTATGTCATCTTTCAGTGCTGTTTAGAGAGAAGGCCAGCTTTGTTCCTTGTTATGCTTGAAATGTTGGGGGAGAAAATTAAGTCTCTCACTGCCTTTGACTTCTGTAGAGTTCCGTGGCCTGGTACCAGCTCAAGCTCCTGAATGTTTTTTGGGACAGATTCTACTTAGATGTAGAATTCCTGAACTAAATTTTGTTGTAATTTTAGAAAACATTACTCATTTGAAATTCATGTATGCAGTCTAGCCAGTCACAAATGTTACTGCAAAATAAGAATGAAATGCTGGTTTAAGGCTTTGTAAGTAACTTTAAAAGTATTATTTTCTTCTTTTTATAACTTTTGTGAACTTTTTATTTTGTTTTCTGGTGATTAAGATTATGGAGTCTTTTTCCTCAGCCATGAGTCTAAAGTATTTATTTATTTATTCTTAAAGCTGAGCTCTCACTAATTCACATAACCGCAACAGATATGGTGTGGAACAGAACTGGGACTGGGATTTCTGACAAAGGCCACAACAGTGAAATGTATATGACATTAAGAAAACTCTGATATGCAAAGATAGGAGGCACAAAGAAAGATAAGAAACTTTATACTACTTTATCTAAATAGGATTACAAGATCATTTCACAGTCCACAGAGTATGCACTAACTTCCTGAGAAACTACTCAAATTAACCATCACAACCTTTTCAGGACAAAGAAAAAAAAATGCATGGAAGCCTATCCTCAAGAGTAAGCCTAGAACCTAGAAAGCCTCTCAGGAGCGCTGCTGAAGCTTAAGAATTGTTTTAGGCACTTGATGCTTTTTGTACACTTTCACCGGTTCCTGCCCTCTCTTTCCTCACCTAGACAGGGAATAAGCGTGAAGAAAAATCCTGTGCTGCAGGAGCGCAGTCCCTATGCTCAAATTGGCAGTATGGTCCCGGGAGGCGCTGCCTTAAACCGAGTAAAATGCTGAGCTCTGCGCTTAACTCCTGATGTTCAGTGGTGAGCTCCTAGTTTCTCCTGATAGCTCATTCACTATCTGTCATGTATCTATCTGGTTTATATTTTTTTACTTCTACCTAGTGTCAAACCCATTTTTGCCTTTGTTAGTAAATTATGTCAGTTCAGTCCAACAAATTAAGCCTGTGTATCTGCTAAAATTAACCTCGTCATAGTGATATCTTCCCAGAGTTCAGCTATTCAACTGATAAAGGAATCAGACTGGAAATTTTTCTTTCTTAAATTGAAAGACTGAAGATATTCTTAGCAAATGGAAGCTGTAGAGAGTTATCAGGGCTCATAATCTACCACAGTGTTGGAATAGGGTTATTTCTTGATGTGCATCTTATATTAATTTTGTCCAGTCTTCCAGGTCCTCCAGGTCATCCATTAGCAGGGTTGGCTGGAGCTACAGTGTCGGGGTGCAGAGGGTCAGGGCACATCTCATAACTTTGTGTGTGCACTGTGCAAGGTCACACTGAGTAGACAGAGAGATGGATGCCATAGCCTCTGCTGTCTCTGTTTCTCCCCAACGCGGGTAAATAGTTGCTTTTATTACTCCCACCCAATTCATTTGAATGAATTTCACTGTTGGAAAAAGCTACCTATTTTTATTTTTGATTCTTAATTGTGTCCTAGTCTGCCTTCCAAAGCGCCAGCTTCATTCCTTCAAAGAATGCATGAAATTCATTCTATTCTTTTAGACTATTCTTTTAATTTTTTAGTATCTTTTATGAACTGTCCCTTTAGTGCTTTCCTCTTTTCCACTTGTTTTGAAAAGCACTAGAAATCAATGTAGCCTGGTATTAATTTCAATGCTGTTAAAAAGTTCAGGAATAGAACAAACCGTAAGTCTTACTATGACAAAGAGAAATAAGATAGATATTGATTTTTTGGGGAACTCCTGTGGTTTGGGATTCCATATATCACAGTTTTTGTCTCCGAGAGAAAAATGTAGTATGTGTCATGTCAGTGGAACTCAACAATAAAAGGTGAGTAAAGATGAAATGGTTCTTGCCAAGATGTGCAATTAAGAGTCTGCAGTCTTCCTCCGTGTAGAGAAGAAAAATTATTTGCTGTAGTTTAAAGGACAACGCGTGAGAGTTTTTGTGTTTTTGTCTGATTGCTGATACTTGATTAATTCTTGACTGACACTGCTATGGTCAATGCGTTTTAATAACTGAGTATTAATTCTATGTCAGTTAAAGGTAGAAGTTTTGTTTGGCTCAAAGCAAGCAAACTTGTATTCATGGCCTGTAATTACCTCCAGATCCGCTCTGTAAAGGCATTTGTCATAAATACCAGCATGAAAAAAAGCTGAACATTCTTTTTGCCATTTGCCAGTAGATAAAAGTGTGAGGAAATGTAAAGGAGTACCGTAAATCATGACAATATAAATCACGAGAAGCTACTGGGTAATAGGGCAGCCACAGGGACAAGCAGCAAAGCGGGCAGCCAGATTTTACCTGAGAGCCAGCATACATCCAGGAAGGAGGATCCTGAGCTAGGGAAGTCTGAGTGCCCTATGCGGATTTTCTAGGCAACTCTGTACCCACAACACTGTAGAATACTCTTGGCAAAAAGACCTCTCATCTGCTTGTTAAAATGGGGTCCTTGCGCCCTCAGTTGCCATCAGAGGTAAAGCAAGAATAATGTAACATAGCAGTAGAGCACTCAGCTGCGAGGGGAGAGATTTCTTGTTCCCAAGATTATTTTGTATTAGTTCAGGATGATCTAATCTGAAATGCATAAACAGATCTAGATCACCTTACTGGGGCCTACGTTCCAAATATAAGATCTAGATTTTACCATATGAGCTAATGTTTTTGATCCAGTAGATTCTTTAGGTAGATTCTTTGTTCCTGAGTCTGTAATTGAGAACCCAGTATTTTTTCCTTCTGTCTCAAGATATACGTTTAGTGCAGGAATTATGGCCAAAGGCTTGCCAAAGGTGTGCATTCATATGTTTTGTGGGAAATCAGATTAGATGAGAAATGATCACAAAGTCTCCACTGCCTCTAAAATAGATAGTCTAGCCTTAAATAGGTTTAAAGGTGGCATCCTAAATTGTGTAATTCAGATGAATTCAGTGGAGCTTCATCATTTTACTGCGGTAAGTGTACCCACTTTGTAGGTCTCAATTCCTAGTTACATAGAGAACAGAACCTAGGGGCTCTTGCAATAGAAGGTATGTTTTCTTCATCAAAAGTTGCCTTTTTCTCACTCCTCCTTGCCTTTTCCTCCCTCTTCTCTTCCCCGGAGACATAAGTAGTTCTATTTCAGCAAGCAGTGCTTGCGCTCCCGTTGGGTCTTTTACCAACACCAGCTCTGCACAAAGTGACTACAAATTGTTGTCAGAATGGCAGGAACAGTTGTGCCTGTGTTCAGGTCCCCAGGAAATGAGTGCCTGAATCTCAGGGGAAGGAGAATCGAAGTTCTGTGTCAGTAGATGATCTTGCACTGCTCCCGGGGTGTGTAGGGGAGGGAGGAGGCTGTTTTGGCCAGGGACAGGATGAACCAGCACTGTCCTCTGGTGAGTTTCTGACTCACCTCCATCCCACACGTGGGAGGGAACTGCAGGAGAAACTAAGAGTCCAAAGGGGGGAAAAATGGATTGCAGCTGTGGATTCCCCTGAAGATCAGATATTTTGTTTTCAGATTTGCAGGAAGGAGGTGCCACTCACTCAGAGAATTTGGCAGGGTAGGTCTCATAGTAGTAATAGCAAGGATGAGGAAGAAATTTTCCTGGAAAGAGCAAATTGGTGTAGATCCGTTCAGGTTTTTCATCTTACAGGCCTGAAAGGAGGGGTCTGGACCCCACTAGAAAAGGTGATCTTAAATTTCTTGTAACAAGTACCTTCTGCAATAAGTCCCAGGAAGTGGTATCCAGTGTTGTGTGGCCAAGGACTAGCTGTAAGGAGAAGGAAAACCTGAAAGAGAGCTGCAAAACACTGAATCATGACTGAGAACCAGTGATGCAAATCCACAAACATTTGTAAAGGGGGTGAGGTCCTTGAACCTTGGAAAAGAGAGTTGAAATGTCTTGCAGAAAATCTTTTGCTGGAGAGTACAGGTGGTTCCCAGTGCCTATGCCTCAGTGCTAAATCAATACTTGCCAGATGATGTGACATATATGTAAATAAAATTGTGACTGCCAGTATCAAACTCATGGCAAGAGTTGTCTGTTGTTGCCCTGTTCATGTGGTCAGAGCTGAAGATAATATATCTGGCTGATAGAACAGCAGTGCAAACATTTCTTTCATTTTTGGGCTCCCAATTCTGAAAATATAGGTTTTTGAATGTCTACATGTTAATGCAATATTGGAAAATGCTCATGGAACTCAAAGATTGAATATTTCTTAGGGAGGAAATCTTTCAACAGTTTATGAGTTCATGTGGAAAATGGATTTCTCCTGTGTCACAATAAAACGGCTAACTTTGAAAACCTGCCTGGAAGAGAAATAGCTCTCAAGCAGGAAAGTCTTCCAGTAAGTTAAATATGAGATGCTGGACAGAGTAACAGGGTCCAGCATGGATTTAAATGTAGAGAATAACAGAAATAGTTTTCATTGTTGCTTCAAATAATGTAATAACCAGAAAAGTGTCTAGCTTCTTGGGGTTTAAAACCGATGCCAGGTAAAATAATGAAAGTAAAGATTTACATTGCTTGGTTTGTTGCAGGCATTGTGTCCCTGATCTCCCTGGCCGTCCTGTCCTATGAGCGATACAGCACTCTCACCCTGTGCAACAAACGCAACGCTGACTATCGGAAAGCCTTGGTGGCAGTTGGCGGTTCATGGATGTATTCCCTGATCTGGACTGTGCCCCCTCTTATCGGATGGAGCAGTTATGGGATAGAAGGTGCAGGTACCAGCTGTTCAGTACGCTGGTCCTCTGAGTCAGCCAAGTCCACATCCTACATCATCTGTCTCTTCATATTCTGCTTGGTCATTCCTGTAATGGTGATGATATACTGCTATGGCCGTCTTCTTTACGCTGTTAAACAGGTAAGCCGCTGCACGTTGCCGATAATGCAGACTGAGCTGAGACAAGTGCTGCTTGTCTCTGTTACCTAGACCAAATGAAAGACCACAGAAAGCCTGAAGGAAGAGCAGGAAAAAGTGGGGATGGTATCTTCACCAAGCTTTCTCATGCTCCTGACACCCCAGTCAAAACAACAAGTTATCATCCAAATAGACACTGGCTTTGTGATGTGGAAATAGTGTGTTGTAAGCAAGCCAGTATATCTGGGTGAAGATTAAATTAGTAATAAAGCAAACACCACTAACCAACCGACATGTTTACCTGTCTATAAACAAGACATGCATGCTCTCATTTCTTTCTGTTTCTAAGTCATAACATTTTAGTAGTTTCTGCTTCTTAATCTGTGGAGACCGAATTTTGCAGTAATGCAATTCTGCCACAGTTTGCAGAGTCATCCCAAGGATCAGCTTCTCCTTGTAATTCTAGGCCACATTTAAAAGTTTCCTTAAATTGATTAAAACAATACTAAGACACTCCTCTAACTGGTTTAAGGTATACTGCAGATATTCCAAAATGAATGTTCAAAAAGACCCTACCAGGCATGGGGGATTGTGAAGTTTTAGTACTCTTGAGACAGTAATGCAATGACTTGGTGATGAATAATGAGAAAGGAATAGATTTTCTCTAAAAAATAATTCTTTAGAAAGTTCAGATGAATTAACTAAGGTGTTAAATGCAAAGAAACAAAAGAAAAACCCAGACCCAGTAAATCCCTAATAGAGACTCTCATTCAGAATTAAAGTGGATATAGTTCACTTCTGATTAGTCATAAGGAATTAAGGTCAAGCCTTTTCCATAATTTGTCAAAACTTTCTGAACACTTGAAGCCCAAGTGGGAAGCCTTTGCCTGGTTGAATGCTGGGCAGGCCAGTAAAATGCCTTTGATAAATCACACATTAATACTCATCTTGATGCTGTGAAATAGTAATATGGAAAAATTTTCCCTTGATTGCAAACCAAGTGAAGCTGCAGATTATATCCAGTCCCTGGGCAGCAATATCCCTTACCATGGCCTTTAAGAAAGGGGTAGGATCCTAGAACATATATGAATAATCATGTGCATAAACTACATATTTCGTATTCTTTTTTCTCTTCTTTCCCTTAGTCCTCACTGCCAACAGTCATGATGGCAACATACAAATACTTACGTGAATAAAATGTTTGTAGCATGTGCTTTATTTTGTAGTTGTAAATGTAGACTTATGTTATTTTAATCACGTTTTCTGAAATGCAATTTTATTAAAATTAGTAATCTCACAAATCTGCCTGATGGGTATCAAGGTAGTGTGGCAAAAATACTGAGGGGACAAAAGTACTGCGGGGACGAAAAGATATGTGCATCTATAGCCATTTTATATTTTGACATGACACATATTTAGACATCTCTCTTATTTGTGGTAACTAGGTTTACTGATGAACTGGCTATATAAAGGCAAAAAAGGGAGAAAGACTAGCATTACCCACAACCCTCTCTCCTCCTTCTTCCGCGTGCTTTCCAGAGTGATCAAGAGGTCTCTGGGACACTGAGGTTAGGGATCTCTGAGAAATATTGTAAATGGTGGTAGTGGAAAAGAATCAAACGTATATCTTGCGTAATCTGTTGGAAGGGCAGGTCTTAGGGAACTGAGGTTTATTAAATACAAAAGAACTCCAGTGAGGATCGTATTATATCTCTTCACTGAAGTTGTACAGAAGCAGGGCTATAACAGCAGCGTGAGCATTTGTGAAGTCCTGAATAGCTAAACCCTTAATTTTTGCACAACATAATGTTTTCTTGGTGTTTCCAAAAGATTTCTGTGATAAGTTATATTTCAGCTATAAGATTCTCAATAAGAAAACTCAGTATCATACCACAATCCTGAAATCTTGCATTTGCTGTGACATATATCTAAATTTCCAAAGATTATATCATTATGCACTCACTTGAATACATTTTTTTTCTTCAATTTGAGGTCCTCTAACTCTTCTGTAATAAATAAAGTAGATTGTGAAATGCTAAAGTAGACTATATTTCAAACTAGAAGAACAGATGAGGAATGGGCAAATTAAAATATAATAATTCTTACAAACCTACAGAGATTAGGTACAGTAATACAAAGAAGGTAGAGAGGTTAGCACATACATTGTAATGTTGTTACCACTGGGCAAAAAAGCTTGCAACAAGACTATATTCTTGTCTCATAGATTAAAAAGAGAGTCTTTCTGTGACCCTCTCTGTAGCATATTAGAAAAAACGTGAGAACATTGCAAACCTAATAAACACATTATCTCAGCTTCAGCTGCTATCTAAATTTTCAAAAATATGCATTTCATATGTTTGCAAGATATATAGGAGTTTGTATGTTACAGCATTGTAGTGTTTATGGTTTGCACCTTGAGCACAAGAGTGCGGGAGTTATGCCATTACTAATACTGCAATGTAAATTAATTGAGGTAGAAGAAATGTCTGAATAGTTTTGGGATAGTTAATGCAAGAATTGGCATTGTGCCTGCATTTTCTCTTTGCAGGGGCTGTAATTATAGGTCTGCTTTTCTCTTTCTCTTCTCTAAATTTAGTCAGGCGCTGTAGCATTCTGTCACTCTAGGCATTAATAGCTCCTACGAAATCATCTGCAATCCGTGCAGTGGTAAAAGGCACAAGAATTTCAGTAATACAGACTTTATAAAAGATCTTTTTTCAAGGGAATTACAAGTCAATGGCATCCTTGTATGAATAATGTTAACAGCAAATGTAAATGCCATTATACATTATTACAACATGACTGCACTGTTTTCTCCGAGTTCTTGAATTTATCACGTTTGAAGACCCTTAGGAACTGCTCAAGTATTTTCTTTTAGGACATGGCATTTTTTTCAAGAGAGGCCTTATCTGGATGGCTGAGTCTGGTTCTGCAGATGGTCTTTGCGGCTGTCCTTGTGCAGTGTGCTTGGAGCAGTTAAGCTCAGTCTAGCCTGAGAGATGGGGCTGGATGCACCAGTCACAGCCCTGGGAAGTGCTAGGGTGGATGAGCTCCGGACGGTGAGAGCATTTTGGAGATACTAAGCAAAGTAACGCTCAAAAATGGAGAGCCAAGGGAAAAAACTATGGTTTCCGAAGCTTTTAGGGATCTTGGCAGTGCATCAGATTTTAAGACATAAAGAAACACAAATATTTTATTAGACCTTTCTTCTGAGTGCACATTTTTACTCATGCTAATCTTGTATTCAGATTGTATGAGGCCTGTTGTTCCATTGCTGCAGATATTGAAATTCAGTTTCTTCTTTAAGTTCTTGTTTAGTGCAACGGATCTGATACCTGGAGAAGAAAGGGGCAAGATTTTCTACCTCACAAAATGTTATTCATATATATTCTGTTTATGTGCGTTCTAGAGAAGAAGAGGAAGAAACTGAGAATGGCCTATTTCTCATATTACAATTAGATTTTTTTAGTGTTTGGCTTAAGAAAGTTCTCAGTGACTCCACCAAAGTGTTACCCCTGGTAAAATGTTCTTTATAAAATCAATGTCAGTTGTTTATACTTTGAAAAGTGGGCTCCCAAACGTGGAATTACAGAGATTAGCATTGTGATCACTGTAGCACAGAAGGCACAATATGATTAAAATTCTCCACTGAGGGACCCAGAGAACTCATATGAAGTTAATGAAAGTTAGTAAAACATTTGAAAGAGATCTCTTCAGTCTGCATTGTCTCCCACTTACATACAAAAATCCTGCCCAAGGACGAGAGAGTCCCAGAACATTATTCCAAGAAAAGTTTTCAGGCTGGTTTTGTGGAAAGTCTCATCTCGGCTCTTCTCATTGCCAGTCTCTTTCATCAAAAGTTATGCCTGAACAAAGCTGAAAAGATCTTCATGGAATGTAACCAGGACATTGAAAACAATAGGAAGGATTGTGAACAGAGTACAAAGACTTAAATCAAACGCGTAGCGTAACGCACATCTGCGCATGTAGTTCTTGCGCACTGTAACAGACTGCTAAAAGTGAGCGAAGGGCCACTGTCATTTTAGAGCTGAATGAAACAAGGCCATCTACTGCAATATTCAATTTAGTTTCATTTTGTCTTCAAATATCAAGATTCTCTTTTGTTTTTGAGGCACATTAGATCTTTTTTGCCCCTTTTCACAGAGAAGCTGTAACCTCTCGTAAAGATAGGGTTCTGGAGTAGATGGACTTGTGGCCTGACCTGGTATTGCTACTTTTATGTGAGGGTTTTTTTCTTCTCACTTGGTAACAGTAAGGAAAAATTAGATATGAAAATATTTATTACATGCTTTCATACCATTACCCTATTTCTTCTTCAGATTTTTCCACAGGAGGAAAAGTTGAAATTATACCATGTGAAACTTTGATTTTTTTGGCCAAAAAAACTGAAAAAATTTAAATGAAAATATCAAGAGTAGCCCAGCTGAGTGAGAAGTTAGCCTTAACAATATACCTTATCCTCCATTCTGTGGTGTGCTTTCTAATACTTAATTCATCAGAAACTGCAAATTTAACCAGTGACCAAAAAGAGAGTTCAGGGTTTCCCGGTACAGCAACTTCTTATGTTTTTTCTGAAAAGTGCCACTAGATTTCTAACTTCCAAGCATCTTAGGAGAACCAGATCATCTTTTATTTTACCATCCCCTGGCCTTTCTTGATGTTGTCACCTTGTAATGGAACAGGGAGGGTCAGGTTATGCTCTACAAAGCTGCTTTGTTCTACAGTGCTTACTCCTCTTCCAGATATTAAATTGCTAAATTTATTGGAAAAAAAAAAAGTAATTATGTCTCTTGATTTGATTAAGGCATAAAGCCCCAGAATGGAATTATGACTCAATTACAAACCTAAAAAACTCATATTGAATTTCATGGGGTGAGGTTTCAACTTTGCTGTATTTTTTAAAGCATCCAATATAAATAACAGTGGTGGTTTTGAAATCACCCTGTGCCCACTAAGAATGTTAAGGAGAAAAAAGGAAAGAA